TCTCTCTCTCTCTCTCTCTCTCTCTCTCTCTCCCCCTCCCTCCCTCCCTCCCACTCTGTCTCACTCCCCCTCTATAGTCTTGACAGAAGAAAAATTAATTCTTAACAACTTGAGGATAAAAAAGTGAATTTGGATCTGGTGTGTTCTGACTACTGATAGAGAGCCTTGGTTTCTGGTTAAGGATATGTGGGGCTTCCGTCACAGTGGACACATAGCTCACTGGGTAAGACTAGACAGAGTCAAAGGTAAACACTCATGCATGGTTTTGAGGTTTGGATTTGACGTGGTGTCATTGCACGGGTATTGTTTTGGCTTTTAAGCACCAAACAGGTAAGCACCACTAAGTAGTGACTTTTTTTTTTAAAAAAAACCCTTTTGCCTTGTTAGATTCTGGTGGTTACATGTGTTGTGTTGAACACACGCATCAACAAAAAAAAAGTGTCTGACTTGATGTACACGCAGTTTGATGTAGTTTAATGTCACTATTTATAGATGAAATGCAATATTCAGCTTACATCCTCTACCGTTGCAGAGTTGATCTGTGGAACAATGAGAATCTGGGTCAGGATGTGTTTCTGGGGGAAACACGGGTCCCTGTCAAGATCCTGCGAAATGACCACATCCACAAAGCCTGGTAAGGAGTAGACGCAACAAAATGTCTAAATTATTTTAACATTTACTCTCTAGTAGGACTGCAATCAAATCCAAATGTATTTGAGTAACTGCAGATAATGTGCTCTGAACAAATACAAACAGCACCCACCAATCATAGAGAGGCTGTTCTTGTAACTGCAGATTTTGAATCATGTCCAACTGATTCCATGACCTCTTCTGAATTCTATTTTCCCGAACTTCCACCTCTGTTTCCACCATTCTTTTCCACTGACAGCATTTACTGAAGCAGTCCGTCAAGACAAAATTTTGACTTCTTTTTGGAGAGATGGGTTCAAATCTGAACCATCTTTATTTTTATATTAATTTATGCACATACATGTAAGTATTAGCAGTATAAGGACAGTTTAACACAGAAAATGAAGCAGTGTAGAACCTTTCTGCCCAGTACAAATGCAAATTTAAAGATAGATGTAGATCTTTTGTGGAAAATTTTGTAGATATTTTTGTTTGTTTTTGTATGTGCTTAATGTTTTTTGTACCGCTTATGAATCCAGCACTTTGGTAAAACTACCAGTGTGCCACATTATCTTCAGTTTTTTTCAGTAACAGCTGTCACATGTGGTTAAAAATACTACAAGAGTAAAAGATCTGTTCTGCATACACACACACATGCACACACTATTCCTGGCTCAGGTTAATAACCAACAGAGACCAGATTGTCTTTCTCTGTGGAAACATTCGATGGAAAGAGGAGTAGGTCTTTATTGTTCTACCCCTCACAGTCTGATGTGTCTGTTCCTTTAGAAATGGATTAGACTGTTGCCAATAAACAAAACCAAGCCAGACACGATCACTTTGAAGTCACAGCCTGGTCACCTTCCTCTTAAGGAGGTGGAGCCTCGTGCTTTGGAGTTTTTCTGTTTAGGAACTTCCATCTTGCATGTCCATTTGGACAAGTTTTCCTTGTCATTACAAGGTGATTTGAACAATCTTCCTAGATTTCTCAGTGTTCAGCAGTTTTTCCATTGTGTGGGTGTTTTCCTAGCTTTGCGTCAGAGTAGGTGATATGGGATTATGCCAGATAGCAATCTGTTAGTACATGAGGGCTGTGAGTTGAGTGCGTGGGCGGCTTTTTGCATGGTGGCAGTACCTCATGTCCCATGTTTATGTTGGAAGTCGTCCATGTTGCATTCATAAAAAAAAATTTATTAAAAAAATAGATGTTCTGCCTCATACACTCAGTACAGGTAAGCTGTCGAAGCGTCTGCGTGTCATGATTACAGATCAAGCAGCTTATGGTCAAACCCCCAGTATGTAACTGCAGCTTTTGAAGCATTGCAGTTCAACTCTACATGGAATAGTTTTGTGTTATGCTCCACCTGTTGGATTCTAGGAGGATGTGCAAGCAGCACACATTTCAGCAATGCTCTGTATTGCTGTTTAATTTTTGAAAATCTTTTATTTTTAAGTGTAAACTATCCAGTCTACCAACATTCTTAAAAAGCTGGAGATTAACATTTATATATATATAATATCACTATACTTTATCACTACTATATAATTTATGAATGTTTTCTTTGGTTTTGTGGTTATATTATTATGTATTTTCTGTTTATTTAGGCTTACAGAACCCATATTGGTTAAATCTTACGTAAAATGTATTTTTAAAAATTTCGTTTAATTCAAAAAGCAGCCTTGTCCTAATTTGAAAACAATTATGTATAAGTCCCTTGTTTTACATAAAGTCTTATTATATGTTTGCATATTTTTATTCATAGTTTACTATATGCACAGCAGTATGATTCACATTCATACTTCATTGCATTATATAATAAAGTGTATGAAATGATGGCGTGTCAATATGATGCAAACAATGCCATGTATTCTGAATATTTCTGAGTTTTCATTGTTTGGCTGTCTTTTGCAAGATGTTTCCTCAAAGCGTTGGTAGAGTCCAAAGTATTGAACTTGCACTGACTGGGTGTCATGGCAACAGATGAATGTTTGTGGTGTTCTCTAACTGATGGATGTGTAAATAAGCAACTCTTTACTAACACCTCCCATCAACGTCATAGGTGACGATCAATCATAAGTCATGTTAAAAACTTGTTTCCACTTCCACCAAGTCGATGTAAAAGATTAGTTCTTGCAGGTGTAAGCAGTGCAGCGTGTTCCTTCACTTTAATATATTCAGAAGCTCTTTTCCAACCACTATGTTCAGCTGTTGTTTTCTGACGAAGCGATGAGAGGTAGTTGTATGTACAACCCATTCTGTATTTATGGAAGATGGGGAGTAAAAGCATATTTTGACCGATGAAGATACTTTCTGTGTACCAGTGGTAAGCCTCTCATCAGATCTGTATGTTTTGCTTCTAATTATTGACAGTTTGCTTCTGTTGTGTTGAACAGTTGTTTTCTCAAAATTACTTATTTCTAGTTACTATAATGTCTATGTTTTACTGCCATATGGACTTCATTACCTATTTGCTAGCTGTCTGAAGACCACTGAGCCTTGTACCAAAGTATGTAGGTTCCATTTGTTGGGAGATTGGTCATGACATTAAGAAGTATTTGTATTCCCACACCTCACAACAATGTGTCATGGCACCTGTCCTACTGTGCTCCAACAGGTATCTCCTCCAGCCCAAAGGGAACGGCAGTAAGTCAAAGTCGGATGATTTAGGATCCTTGCGTTTGAAGCTGACCTACATAGAAGACACGGTGCTGCCATCTGCCTGCTACACACCACTCTGCAACCTGCTGCTCAAATCCCCCGATGTGAAGGTAAGACGGCAGCTCAAGTTACAGTAAATCCTAAGATGGAGGACCACCTTAAAAACAATGTACACAGTTGTATTTTTCTACTTTTTTGTGTTGTCTTTCTATTAAACACGGCTGTACAAATAGACGTAACTCGTCCCATCTTTCTTTTCTGAAGTCCACTGAAATGCAACAGTGGAATTGATTAGTCATTTTCTTTCTCCATTACTTCCTTCTCTCTTTCACCTCCTAATGCCATCAATCTGTGTATTTCCTCTTTTTTTTTTTTTTTTTGCACTTACCTTCCGCTGTTTCTCTTTTTGGCCTCCTTCAGCCCATCTCGGCATCAGCAGCACACATCTTGGGGGACACCTGCAGAGAGCGATACGAGGCTGTTCTGCCCATGGTTCGACTGCTGCTCCACCACAATCGCTTTGTGCCTTTTGTCTCTGCTGTGGCAGCACTAGAACTGGACAACACTCAGTTAGTACTTTCACATGCATTCTTTTACACAGTGGCATGTAGAACATGGCCCACATTGTTACTTCTCGTATCCCTAAAGAGTTCAAGTTAAGTCCCTTTTTCTGCGTCTTTCTCGTTATGATAATCCAAAGTCAAACACGGAATATTTAAAAGTAAAATCTGAATAAGTTACCTCTACTTTTTCTTTGATAAACTTGTCAATCAGTCTAACAGTGCAGTGTAAAAACAGGATGCCTTTTTGAAATGTACTACTTTTGCATTCTAAAACTAAAGAGAGCACTTCATTGATGATTATCTGAATCAGTCCTAAACTATTTTAGAATAACAAAAAGAAACGTTGTCAGAAATGATGTTTAATTAATGTTGGTGGAATATTTGTGTGTCCTTGCAGGGAGGCTAACACTATATTCCGGGGCAACTCACTGGCAACACGCTGCATTGATGACATGATGAAGATTGTAGGAAAGAATTACCTAGCCGTTACCCTGAAGCCTGTAATAGACGAGGTATGAGTAACAAGGAGACACACACACACACACACACACACACACACACACACACACACATACACATCAAGCATTGATGCCAGAATAGGCATGAGTCACTGAGGTCAGTATGGAAAAATCCACTTGAACATCTGCCTTTCTACCGCAAACAAGCAGATGTGCAGATGTAATTGGTAGGTTTGGAGTTCTTCCAGGGTGTGATATTAACCACTTTTTGAAAGCCTTTTACAGTAATTTCCTTTAAATCCGTCACATTAATGAATATTTAAATCTTAATATTGTGGGGCTTTTTGATACAGTGTTCCGTAGTGTGTTGTTGCTTGTCGTCATATTTTCTGCGACTTACTGTTATTGTTTGATTGTAGTTCTTTGCTCTGTTTCTCATGACTGCATTAGGTCTGACCTAATTTTGCTGTTTGTTTTTTTCCTTTTACCTTTCATAGATTTGTGATTCCAACAAAACATGTGAGATAGACCCCAATAAACTAAAGGAAGGTGACAATGTGGAGGTCAACAAGGTACACCTGCTCATCTCTTACTGTCTGGTTCACAGAGAAGCAGAATGAGCTATAATGGGTGGTGGTGTCTGAATGCTTTGCTCAGTATAATTTATAATATAATATACACTATAATTTATCATTTATATGCTAATATATGTTTTAAAAAACACTGAGAACTTTTTACCAGTTTTTAACCTCAACTGCCCATATGTGTGTGTGTAAAGTAATGCTACGTTTTTGTTACTTCTGCAGGAAAACCTTCAGGTGTATGTCCAGAAAGTCTTTTCCTCCATCACCCAGTCCAGTTCTAGCTGCCCACCACTCATGTGTGATGTCTTCAGGTCTCTGAGACACTTGGCCTGTAAACGCTTCCCAGGTAAATTCTATCGTTCATCATTTTGCTACATTTTGAAACAAAATGACATTTGCATGTTTTTGTTAAAATTTCGTTAAAAGTTCAAACTAAGAGAGCCAAAAAGCAGGTTATTGGTAACTACAAATATCTGACCAATAAGAACTTAATCATTTAAATGAATACGTAAACAACATTTCACACAGTTCATTGATTGAGCAGGTATCAGAAGGAATGTTTACAGTGTCTATAAGCAGATTTTTTTGCAGTTCACATTTATAGTAATGCAGTAAGTTCATCGTGTGGGACAATTATTTTTTTGCTTAGAAGGTGTGCAGATAATTTAAAATGCATTAGATCTAATTTATATTACATATGTAATATTTGGGAATAGGAAACTATTTTTTTTAGCTTTTCATTAACTGCCTGCATCCATTTTTTGTTTGCCTCTGGCACTCTGACTAGAGAGCAGTTGAGTCAAAGTTCAGGGAAAGTTGCTTGAAAATGTGTTCAGGGATTTGATGAAGTGGACAGTTGTTCTTTACCAACATGTTGTGCTGAAGTAAACAGTTCAACTTTACCAAGTGGTCCTGTGGATATTGTCTGCCTGTGGACCCAGACAAGGGGGATTTGGTAGTGTCTCGTTAAAACTTCATTAATTAGAACCCTGCAAATCCACTGACTCGTATCAGATAACCAGGTCACCACTGGAATGGAAGGACAACAGCAGTCTTGCTGGGCCAATTACCTTCATAATCCACAGTGGTGCTAGACCAAAATATTTTACTATTTATTGGCACATGTACATTTATTTTTCTGTATTTGTTTTTAATGTAATATTGGGCTTAATTTTTGAGCACATGTTCTGTATTCACATCTGGGAAGAATTTCGAACAACAGTATTAGTTAGTTGCGGAATGCCACACAATTTTTATAGTGTTATTGTACAAATGCACCAGAAGATGGAGCCAAAGCTTTAAGTTTGAATGGAGTTTAATCTGATAGTAGCTTTGTGTTAAGTTTCTCTTGCATTTCATGATCCGTCTTTATTGATTGAATAAGCTTGTTTTGGAAATTTGGAAATTGAATTTCCCTCTGGGATAAATAAAGTATTTTTCATTTCATTTCATTCATTTTGAACAGCCAGACTCATCTCTTAATTGTCCTTTCTATAGGTGACCCACATGTTCAGTACTCGGCTGTTAGCAGCTTTGTGTTCCTGCGCTTTTTTGCTGTTGCTGTTCTTTCGCCACACTCTTTCCAACTGCGTTCCCATCATCCGGTAAGTGAATGTCCCTGATACCACAACTGACCATTTAATAAATGTTCTGGAGATTAAGTTCACCAGTGCCCCAGACATTGAAGTCATAGTTTGTTTTCTGTAATTGCAGGATCCCGAGATTTCCCGCACACTCACTCTCATCTCAAAAACCATCCAGACTCTCGGCAGCTGGGGTAGTTTGTCAAAAAAGCTGGTAAGTTTAACGGCAGTTCTATAAAGATGAGAAATGCTGTTTACCCAGTTAAGCAATGTGAATGTTAAAGATCATATGTTGAATCAAGAATAAGGTTTAAATTCAGAGAGACACAGACTATTCTTAAATGATGTCTACTGTATTGTGAACCGCAAACATGAAACGTAGTTTTTAAAAAAAAAATCTGTTACATGTTGATTTAATTCTTTACCTTTTCTTTTTTCAGTCCAGCTTCAAAGAAACCTACATGTATGACTTCTTCAAATCATTCCAAGAAGACAAGTGTATTGAAAAAGTTAAAAAGGTATTTTTCAAAACGCTTAAACATGTTTATGATGTAAATGTGTTTCTAATTGCTGAAATCACTGTCAATTCTGTTTCCAGTTTCTTGATGAAATCTCCTCAAACGTCAGCAAGGAGTCCAGTGGACTGGAGGACGCTGTGGTACTCAAAGAGGGGTGAGTGTTCATTATGAGCTGAGAAAATGTGAAATGAAGATTAAAGCTTCTTCTTTAGTCACACCCTTATACACTTTAATCTGGTAGAAGAATTGCAGAAAGATATCAGTGGTTATATAAGGAGGCTCCAGGTGCTGTTACATAGAATTCTTGAAAAACAAAAAACACATATTTAAAGAGGTAACTGAAGTGTTGTGATTGTGTTGAAAGTTTAACCTATAAGGCTTCACAGTAGCTGCATGCAGAGTCGGTGCAAAAAGAACTGCCTGTCGGAAAAGATTTCACTGATAAAAGTGAGGGGAAAATGGCTCGCCACAAGTTTATCTCCTTTCAACAGAATCAGTCATCATTGTATAGCACAAAACACAGTCTATACAGACACATTTTCCATGATTTTCTTTTTATATTTTACAGTATAATGCATCAGAGTGAACAATAAAGGGGGACAGTCACTTACTGCTGCACTCTCCTGCAAGAAACCTGTTGGAAAAAGAAAGATTACAATTAGCGAACGGAGACGACCTAACTTTTAGCTTTTGATCAAGCTTCAAAAAATAAAAAGCTGGATCTTACACTTCCCTTTGCTGCGACATGAATCCAAAAAGTCAAGATAAATTTTGCACCAGACATAATATGACCATTAAGATTCATGAATAACGGTTTTTGCTTAAATTTCAAATGTATTTATTCCACTGTAACCAGAGTCTTGTTTCATTATTTGTACTTCAAATTAAAATTCTGTAATTTATTTATTTCTTTATTTTTTTAACATCAGAACAGTTTAAATGGAAAAAAAAAAAAAAAACCTTAGGTTAGGCTGGAAAGAATTAAACTGTGCTGATTATATTAATTTGCTTACTTTCAGACTTTCAACCTCAGTCTTGTATTTGTGTGTCCTAACAGGGAAGTACAGAAACGTGCTCAGGGGAGGAAACGCCTCGGCAAGAGAAACTTTAAAAAGAGATGGCTCAGAGTGACCAACAGGGAGCTCTCCTACCACAAACATAAAGGTGAGACCAGTTTCTAGCATCTCATACTGAAACTGAATTTATTTCAAGCTTGTATTTAAATGACAACATAAGGTTAAACTCTCAGGATATGGCTACATGCTCTTCTGTCCACAAGATGGCGCCAAATTATTGATTTGATTTATTTTCCTAAAGTTGAGCCGTTAGCTGGGCTGCAAGGTGGCTCGGTGGTTAGCACTGTTGCCTCACACCTAGAAGGTCGCCGGTTTGTGTCCCGGTAGGCACACGCGGGATCTTTCTGCGTGGAGTTTGCATGTTCTCCCCGTGCAGCGTAGGTTCTCTCCAGGTTCTCCGACTTCCTCCCACAATACAAAAACATGTTGAGGTTAATTGGTGATTCTAAGTTGTCCGTAGGTGTGAATGTGAGTGTGCTTGGTTGTCTGTCTCTAAGTGTAGCCCTGCGATAGACTGGCGACCTGTCCAGGGTCCCCTGCCTTCACCCTAAGTCAGCTGGGATAGACTCCAGCCCCCCACGACCCTAGTGAGGATTAAACGGTGTATAGATAATGGATGGATGGAGATGTTAGCTATATTATGTTGTACAATAATATTTGATGAAAAGCCACAGAAGTTATTGTCAAAGGTTAGCCATCATATGGTTATTCCATTCACAGAAGAGCCACCTGAATAGCAAACATTGTCATCCAAAGTAATATGGTATTCTAGGCTCATACTTGTGTGTTTACTTTGCTTGAACTGATTAATGATATCGGCGTGTTATCACACACAGTTCAATTTGAAGGGATTGAAAAGAAATGCTGTCATCTTAAGGAATTTAGGGAAAAGATCAAGAGTGGTATGCTGCACAGAAAGGGAGGATGTGATGATAATTTAGAGTAACTGTCTTTATCAAAGCATAATCTGTGGTGCCAAGATGTGTCAAGATGAACTTATGTCACTAATTAACTGCTTAAAACTAATACTTAGACACATTAATACAGATCATTGAAATCAGTTCATGTGTTCGCATGACACACCTTAGTCACCATCCAAAAATCTGATTTTTGAATAGTCCACATGGATCTGAAGCATCACATACTGTGTTCTCTGTCAACGCTGAAGTGTCTTTTCACACCATGGTATTAAGAACAGCTGCTGTACTTTAACGTTTTTGTTTCTATAAGGTCCACAGATACTCTGCAGCTACAAGAGACACGACTCGCGCTAAAGTTAAATGATGCATGTGTTTTGTGGACAAGTTAGATCCACTCTCTCTCTCTTGAAAGCCACACCATGGACGTTACTATCGCTGACATGTTGCAGTGACAGGGTCCATCTGTAATGTTTTTCTATTGCTGTATTCCTGCTGTCTTGGACTACAGCAAACACAACTATTATACAGTTCTGACAGCAACTGAAACTGAAAGGGCTTTCTTTGGGTTGCTAATCCACCGTTTTGTCAAATTCAGTACTTTGGAACTCCATGATACCACCCTAAGGATTCATCACAGGAAACAATTGATAAATGTTAATTTCTGCATTAAAAAAATTCCCACCCTTACTCTCAGGAATAAGAAACTGTGTTTCATGAATTACAAAATATCTTCAGCACTGTAGCTTACACCATTGAAAGAAATACTGACAGTTGTGGAAGAACTGAATTTGTTCTGCTTCTACTGATATCATCTGATGTGACAAGGAGCACGCTATTTAACCCAAACAAAAAAAAAAAACACGCTACAGTTAAGCTTTCAAACCTCCTCTGTGTGTTATTATTCTTTACATGAAGTTGACAGAATGACTTCTGCTTCCCAGGGAAAGAGGCCCTCTGCACCATCAGTGTCAAAAATATCCAGGCGGTGGAGAAACTGGATGAAAGTGCCTTTAACCGCAAAAATGTAAGCCAATTCCCTTCAGAGCCCTCACTCATCACCTCTAATGACTGACCCTTCATAATGGAAACTTTAGTCCCAATGTCAGTCCTCCAAGTTAAAACAAACAAATGTTGAAATGCAGTCTCATGAGCATTTATTGATGTTTTGGTAAATTGTTATAAATGGTTTCAACATCAGCTGAACACTTGAGTAATGTCAGAATGAGAAAAAATTGAAAATTGACAAGATTGTATGTGAAACAAAATTATAGTTGCTAAAGGTGGAATAGTTCAGACTTCACACCTCTAAAGGTCTCATTGTGAGCATAGACTGAGCATTTTATTTGTCTTTTTGCATACACTGTAGGATGTTAAAAGTGTCCTGCAAATGACCTGGTTTGGATAAATAGTCATGTTTTGGCTGAACTGCTGTGTTTCTCTTCTGCCAGATGTTTCAGGTGGTCCACTCCGAGAAGCCTCTGTATGTACAGGCAGGAAACTGTGTGGAAGCCAGTGAGTGGTTGGAGGTCCTTGGCCAGGTCACTCGCTGCAACGAGGGACGCCTGGCCACTTTCCATCCATCAAATTACACCAGTGGAGCCTGGCAGTGCTGTAAAAGTCAGAGCAACAGCGCTCCAGGCTGTAAGCCCTGCACAACGTGAGTCTTTCCTCCACGTCACTGACATCATCGCCCAGGATGAGAAATATATCCTCTATATAAAGGATTATGTATCCTTGTCAGCTGTGTTAAAAAAACACAGTAAACGGGCAAAAACATATTGAAACAGGCAAATATAAAATTTCCATATCAAGATCATTCAGATGGCTTGATCTTAAGGAGGTGTGAGATGCTTTATGAGTTGCAGCAACGCCTTCAACATAGCATCTGAGCCACTTATCTTTAAGTTTGACATGTTTGACATATGGCAAGCCTCCATTGTGGGAACTCGTCCAGGAATGTTTACAGGAACCAAAACAATCTTGAACTGGTGATTGTTTAATTGCAGTTATATATCATAAAGCATTACATAAACAGAAAAAAATTCAGCAAACCCAAACTACTTTGGAGACAAGTTTTTCTGATGTTATCTTTCTGCTTTTCCACCTTTGCATTTGCTCTTTCCAACAACCTATGAAGCATCTCACAGCTGCCTAACAACAAATTACACCAATAACTCTGCTTTTAGTGTGTTGTTGTGGGAACACAAATACAATAAAACAGTTTTTGAGTACTCTCTTCAAAATTCCTTTCTCCCATTAAGTAAAAAGTAGATTTTTTTTTTACAGTCAAGCCCTCTTTAATGATTCTGTTGTGATTCCATGTACCTGTTTTATGCCCATTAAATGTGTAAGATTTAATTGTCATTCTCTGAGAGCTTTGTCTTGCAAATACTCATCTCTGTTACTGTTCACTTCTGCATGTTGTTTTTGAGATCAGTGCTCAGTTGGATCGGTGTTTTAATTTAAACAAATGAAAATACTGATGTCTCCGCTCTTCATTCCTGAGAAGATCCCCTTACGCTTTTGTTCTTTCATGTTTCAGCACCATGCTGGCCAACCTGCAGCTGGACATAGACTGTGACCGAGAAACAGAGAGGATTTTCTCCTTCCTCTCCTCTAACGATACCAAGCTGCAGAACATGGAGGGTCAGTGTCTGTTCATGAAATGCTGAGTTTGTTTATGACAGAGTGCGACAGCGTATGTCATACAAACAGTCATGTGCTGCTTTTTAGTTCTTTTGCCCACGATATCATGGTTAGAGATCATGACCCATAATAATGAGAACATGACATGTGTTAATATGCCTGTGTTTAAGTGCAACTTGTCAAATAGAAATGATGTGATTATTACTGTTTTGAATCTATTCCAGCGTGTTGGTTAACAATCTAAATAATGACTGCGAGTTAAAAGTTTTGATTAATAATGCATGACAGCGATACTCATGTTATAGCCCACTAGCCAAATCATTCCTTTGATACAGTGCCGGCTGGCTAGTTGAACATTTTCTGTTTTATAGGGAAAATAAATTGATTGACAAGAAGACTTTTTGTTTGCTTGTATAGCAAACATTCAATATCGTTCCTTGACTCAAAGAAAGAAGATTTGTGTATATTTTAATGATGAATAATATAATTTGTATAATAAACTGTCATTTTTGTAAAAGTGGGCCCAGGCAAAGCAGTTCAGTGTCCCTGGTGTAGGATTACCAGCCAACTGTGCATACAGCCTGTCTATTCTGGAACATTGCAGAACCAAACTGTGAAGTGTTCTTCACTTGCAAAATCAAATCATCTGACTTCAATCAAACTCAGCTGGTCTTTGTCTTACTGAAGTTTGCCTGCTTGTTTTTCTTCTTGTTTGTTTGGATCCCTCTTAGTTGCTATATCACAGCAGCTATTTTTTTCCCAGGTGTCCATGACGACCACAGTGAAGGCGAAAAGTTATTGCATCAATACAGAAATTAAGATGTCAGGATTTGGATTTATTCAGTAACAGAACTGAGTGCAGCGCTTTCAATGCATTCCAAGACAGCCGCATTTGATTTTGAGTGTGGTAGGACCCCACGTGTTGCAAAGGAGCTCTGATCAATATCTGTACATTGCTCCTCTTCATAGATGCGTGTGCCAGTATGGCCGTGTACCAGGGCCCTCAGCGGGAACAGGAGGAATACTCCAAGTTCACCATTCAGGAACCCAAAGAGACCTTTCAGACACTCAAACAGCTCCGAAACATCATGGAGGAGCTGCAGAGACAGCACAATATCAGGAACGACACCACAGCGCAGTACGGCAGCCTGTAAGTCTGCACCACTGTTACTGCATGTTACATTGGTACTGTATGATATAACATGGATATTGGTGCTTTATAGTTGGTTGGTTTGTTTGTAGGGTACACTTTAAAACCAGTGTTACAAAGTTCTTTACACACAGCAAACAATAAAAACACAATCAGGAATTAAATCATTGAAAAAGCTCCCTAATACAAAAACATTGGAAATACTCGCAGCTAAATAAAAGAAACGAGTTTCCTGAAGTAGTTTCATAGAAAAGAAAAAGATTTTGTCGTGTTGTATCTAGACACAGGACCAGCCAGCAGTCAAGAGTCTTAAACTAATCAGTAAAATTTTAAAATTAGTCCTGAAATACATTGGTATTCAGTGGTATAATGTGATCTGTCCTCCTGGTTTTAGTGAATTCTCGCAGCAGCACTCTCTACTATTTGCAGCCTGTTGAAGGATTTCTTTTTTACACCTCTTGAAAGACTGTTGATGATTCAGTCCTGATGTGACAAAGCACTGAAGAACAACTTCTGCATCTTTAAAACATAAAACCACTCGAATGTTGCCAAACATATTTTAGTGCTGCAGATATGTCTGGAGCTGCACATGCAGGCTTCCTGGGCCATTAAGTAGAGTCTGTTTTGGGTTAGGGTTAGGGTTAGGGTTAGGGTTAGGGTTAGGGTTATGAAGAAAATCTTTAGACTTCGAGTTCTTTATGTCTGCAAAATATTTAACTAGACAGGAACAGTGACTGCTATTATTTGAAGCAGCACTGTGTCTGTCTATGATGTGACCAAAGGAAAGCGAATGTAATCAATATTGGATTAAAACTCAGCTCTTTAGGTGCTCCACATGTTGTTGGGGCTGTCACACTGCAAATCCCTGTGAGGCTGCATCACATATCGCTGTTCATCAGGATAACATGATGTTGTGTGTCAGCGCTGCACTAAAAGAGAACAGCTTGTGTAATTCTGCATTTGTAACCTTTTCTCACGTAAATCCGTTGCAAATAAGATCAAGGCATAAGTGATATGTAACACTGATCAAAAGTTTTAGTCGCTGAAAGTAAAGTGAAGATACCTCCAGAAATAATGTCAGGAATAGTTTTATCAACAAAACAAAGTGCAGTAAACAGAGACAAATTAAAGATAATTGGAGTGGTCGTGAACTTTTTTTCTGAAGCTGTTAACAATACTGAAGAAAATAGTGACTCTCCATTCTCTCAGCTCTTTGTAAACACAGCCTGCCGTTTAGCCTTATTTAGCCAAAAGATCACTACATGTTTGTCACATGACAATGGATGCCAGCACAGTCATGAATGACTTCACCACTGTGACAAGTGTAGAATTTTCAGTCTTTATCAGAACTGGGGTAAATATAAACTGCTCGGTTTTGGCAGATTATTAAATGAACTGATGATGAAATATCCTGATTTTAAGCATAGATTTTTAAGTTTCCCATTGTCACAGATGAGTAGTTCAAGGACAGACGGAGGGTTCAAAATTCTCTGTTTTTACTGTTTCTGGCTCTGATAAATAGTATGATTTTGCACATTTCTCTGAAGAAAACTTGCCTTTCACTCCTGCAGGTAGGCTTTGGGGTTCAGTTGGGGTTTAGGGTAAAACAGCATCCCAGACTAAGTCCTTGATTTTTGAGATCAGGGCTCTGTTTGGGCCACACCATCTGCTGCAGGACTCCTTGTTCTTTCTAATCACTGAGCATAGTTCTTTTTGACTCTGGCTGAATGCTTGACGTCATGCTGCAGAATAAATTTGGGACTGATCAGAGACCTCCCTGATAAATGAAAAGTGTCTAAAACTTTTACACAGCACTGAAAATACAAATATTCTGTGCTTATTTTATCTTGAATGAATTATTACATTGTTACTGATACGCTCGCTCACAGGAAGTAATGTTTGTTATTTTTTCCTGTTGCAGTGACAACCCCATAGTGGGGAAAACCTCTTAACCTGGGCAGGCAGGTGTGGCCTAAAACAGCCATGCCTGTACACCACAGAGAGCCTAAACGGTCCTAAAGGAGCTCCGAGAGTTCACCCAGCGACAAATGCCACTGTGTGACCAGGAGAACGATACACCCTGACCTCCACACGTCGTGAGTCCACTACAGCAGTGACGGCCCAAGAACGCGAACCAGAACAAGCCTGTGAGCTTTTCCAGAATCGCTCGTCGGCCCTTGAAATGAATGAACCCTTAGGTGTTGTCTGTCGTTGTGTTTTTGGCACTATGTTGCCTCATCTCCTCCCCCCTCATCTGCATTGCAGATCCCTTCTAAAGAGACTCTTTCTGTGTCTTAATTTATGTCCCCTTTTACGTCTACAGCTGTGCGAAAAAGGCATCATTAGATGGTGTGTGAATAGGCTGCTATTTTTTTAATTCACTCAATTTTATATCAACAGCTGAGATGATGCTCTCCCCATCTTTAACGTTTTGCTCTGACATCTGTCTTTAGAGTTGATTAATAGTCATCATCATTCTGGAGGATCGTCCTCCACCTGTGCCCCTGTACACTTAAACTTTTCTTGACTCTTTTTGTGTCTGAACAAATGTGTATATATTTTCAAAGTACATATAAGTAGATAACACCGATCTGCCTTACTTTGACGGATGTTTTCTTTCACATTAAATGCTGAGGGAATAATGCAGAAGCACTTTAAATATTTGGAGCAGTCCAAATAGAAATGATTAGATACTTGGTATCAGCTTTCCCCATTTTGATCAGTTACATGATCTTGAGTACATTTTTGTTTCATTTCTGTACAATAACATTTATAGTCTGTAGATTTTAAGATATTTTTCTTGACCAAAGACAATTTCATAGGTTTGAACTTGGACTTGAAAAAAATTAATGTATTTTGACTACAAATGGTTTAAAAATGGAGACAAATTATATATATATATATGTATGTATGTGTGTGTGTGTATATATACATATATATATATATACATATAAAATATATGTATGTTTGGTTTTATGTGTATGTTTTTGCTAACATATCCTTTACTTTCTAGTGACTTAAAGCAAGCAGTTTGCATGCATTCAGTTTTGAATCCTGATAGCACGACTGTGGTGAAGAGTTGTATTTCCCTGTGATTGTGAATTGTATTGGTACGGTGTACATCAGATCTGTGCTGTCATGTTGAGAGCCTCGCAACATAAGTCTTGCAGCTTCTGTAAGAAATAATGGTTGATGGTAGGAATCAATCAGAAAAACAAATCGCCCCTTTCATCCCTAAATTAGTCCAGACAATCGCAGCAACCAGAAACATCATGTCCTTTTCCTTTGCTTTTATTTTTCCAACCATCAGCCCTCTGCAGGGCCTGCTCTTGTACTGAATGGTTTTGGAGAATTTGTTTGAAATGTGGTGCTCTGTGGTTTAGAATTAAGTTATATTTGTACCATTTCCACAGCTGTCACACTCTTGCAGTGAATCATTCTAGTAAGCATATCTCTGCAGGAGTGATGCTGCATCAAATGGAAACGGCAAGAAAAAAGCCTGTAAACTGTCAAATTAATTAGAAATGATGAACATGAGTTGTCAGAGCCCAACATGATGTCATAAAATTGCTTTTCACTTGAGTATTCAGTTTATTATAGGAAACCGATACAAGCAACCAAATACTCAGATTTTAAGTCGCAACCAGCAATTTTCTAACGTCGTCACATCGTTTTCACTCTGGACAGAACTGACAAACAATCAGTTTGATTCAATCCTGGTTTTGCCGTTTTTGTTGCCCCTTAGTGTTTTCAATCCCGTTTGAACAATGAAGTGTTGGATAGAGACAGAAGAAACTTGAAATAATTTAAACAACAACAGTTGGACATTTAATGCTGAGGATACAGGGTTAACCGTGTCTTTTTTTTTTTTCTTGCGTGTGGAAATAAGTTGTTTTCACAAGTTTTGTCTTTGGTCCATCATATATTTCTAACATGCATGTCTTGTATATTTAACAATATATTTTTCTAGGAAAATGTTTTTGTATTTTTTTTTTTTCCCCAAACACTGATTTAATGTGTTGCTATACTGGTACGGTACTTCGTTCTGTGTCTGCAGTGCTTCTTTGAGATTGGCTGCTTTCGTTTTTGTCCCTATGCGCTCTTATGTGGCTGTAGCTGCTGCGAAACTTTCCACACGTTGAAGCTTAACGTAGTGTTACTGAAGTGAATATTGTGCGTGACGTCCCATCAAGCTGCAGCTGGCACTGACTGTGTTCACATGCAGGCTGTAAGTCAGGGGTGTCCAATCCTGGTCCTGGAGGGCCACAGTCCTGCATGTTTTAGATGTTTCCCTCTTCCAACACACCTGATTCAAATGATCAGCTCATCATCAAGCTGTGCAGAAGCCTGATAACGATCCTGATCATTTGAATCAGGTGTGTTGGAAGAGGGAAACATCTAAAACATGCAGAACTGTGGCCCTCCAGGACCAGGATTGCCCACCCCTGCTGTAAGTGAATTACCCCATCAGAGCCAAAATACAACTGTACAACTAGTGACTTCAACAAACTGATCATTGGATGGAAAAAAACATATTTAAAACCAAATTTAAACAGCAATATCTGATTCAGAAAGTCACAGCATACGTTCTTGTGTAAAGCTTGCATGTCGACTCCATTGCTAGTTTTAACAATAAGGCCAGTAAAGTAGAGGTTGGTGTATGTGTGTACATGTTGGGGTTCTTATTTCCATTCACTGCATTCTGCTTATATTTATCTGCTTTTGACAAGGGAATTTGTTCTTTTATGTTGGCACATATTTCTAAAACAACAGCAGTCTTTGTCAGGATATGGAAACGCATGTGTAAGCGGTGTACAGCTCCCTCAGGACACCAGTGTGCGTGACTTTCACGTGTTGGACCGCGGCCAACTTTAAAACAGAATGTTACTGAACTGAAAGGGGAATGTTCATATTTGCTTTGAACTATCAAATGAACGTCAATCAAGGTATTAGCCATCGGATGTGGGTTTGCTGAGCACTTTGTATTAATTATTTTAAAAAATAGGGAAAGCTCCAATTTGTATGCAGGAACAAAAGTATATATTTCAGTCTCTTTTTTTTTTTTCAAAGCTGGAAAACACTTTATCATGTTCTTTTCAGAAACGGGCCAAAAGACACTTTTTTTTTTTCTCTTCCCCCCTGTTGCATATAACTTGTTCTGTGCTAGAGCAGAAAGTGAGGACAATGGACAGTCCGAAGGCTTTGTAGGATGGTTTTTGTTTTTGTTTTTTTTTAATCAGAAAGCTTCCTCCTGTCCAGTGCACAGTGAGTAGTTGCAGAAAGTGGAGGTTCTTACCATCTCCAGCTCATTTCTTCTGAATGTCTCCACACAGCTTCAGTACAATGTCTATTTTTATTTTTTTTTTAATACACATTAAACATTTTATTTTCCATACATGGTGTGTTCTGTGTCTGTTCACAATAAACACTTTGCCAATGCTTCTTCTCTTTGCGGAGCGTCTGTACTTTCTCCTCACATAGACCGAAAAAGTGCCAAATATCAGTGATATATTTGAGATAATGAAAAGGCTTGAGCGCTGCTTTATCATGTAGTTTGTGTGGTCGGAGTTAATGCAAAGCTGATCACATTAGTATTCAAATGTATTTTTGTTTTCCTTTATAGAATTGCCAGAATTAAATGGCAAATTAGAGTTTGGAAATAAATACACATCCTATAGGGTGTTCCTTTAAGTTCGATTTTTCTTAGTAACCCTTTATTCCTGAGCACGACCCTTGATTTCTCAGAAATAAACAAATGCAGTTCTGTTTAAGTAAAAGATTCATACCAGCTGCTTACACTTCAAAGTATAATGTGATGCATGTATATGCGTAATACTCATGTGGGAATATAAAGCAACTTGGGGGTTTAATTAAATTCAATTATCAGCAGTTAAAATGTGCCATGAGCTTGAAACTCTTAAAGCTTTATGTGGAATACAAATGAAACTTAATGCTCTCATAGATCATCTGTCTTTTGATCCTTTGGAGGAGACCTGCTGTACATGTGTGTCAACTAAACACACAAAAATGTTTTATGGATTAGTGCTTACCCTTACCATTTTCGAGATTGTTCCATCTCATTGGCAGCAGCTTTTTTCTGATCTGAAGCAGCACAGTGATGAAGGTGAATCGCTTTGTTTTGTTGTCCTGCAATAAATGATACATCACCGCAAACCAGTTTTGATTTTGATGCTTATTACATGCGTTTCTGGTTTGAGAGCAGGTTACGGGCATCTGTTGATTGCTTTACGCTGTATTTTTCCTGTGCTTTGGTTCTTTTCACACTTCCTAAACACACAACCACAGATCAACACCGAGGTGCTAACATCGTGACCTGCTTTTCCCAACTGCTGGTTGCAATCATTCTCCCAACGTTTGGCTTTTTCCGTCTAATTTAGCCTCTCAGTGGAACATTGACTTTCGTCACCACAGCACAAAGCAAACTGATTTAATACTAACTTCCTCTGTGCACAACAAAAGTACTATTCAGTGGAAAGATTGTGGTGTCTCTGTCAAGTTGAGTAAATATCTTCAGGTCAGTTTGCAGCTCTGCAGCATTAATTGAAACATAGAATCCACATGGTCCCAGTCTCTTGGCTTTAACAGACATCTTTTGGCTAAAGTGTGAAATTCATAGTGAAAGTTGTGTATTAACTCTACTCAGTCCTCACCATCTTTAGCCCGCTTATCCTGCTGTAAAATATGCCATCTGTCAATTTCTTATGCACTATGCAGCTGTTTCATGTAGGTCATGTCACGTACATCAGCACCTTTGGTTGACTTTTCTCTCCTCTCATCAAGGCCCCTCCTAAATGCCTGCAGGAATACCGTAAAACCACTCCAGTGTACGTCAGCAGCATCGTGCAGCCCATTACGCTACATATGGCTCGGAAGAATCTCATTTATCAAGTGCAGTCATTTTCTTTTCTCATTTTAACAGTAATGTCCGTCTACAACAGTCCAATGGGAGAAATATGATCAAAGTGATAAGACCAGGAACGTGGCGCAGAGAGAGATTATCTGTTTCTCATTATCGTCTCTCTGCTCTAACATATTGTATTTAAAATAAGAACACGCGATTAAAGTTGTGAGATTCGGCTTTAACTCTGTGAATATGTTAACATACAAATTTGTAAAGGAGTCCCTGTGCTGCAATTTACACATAGTTCCCCAATTTTAGGACAATGGAGCAATAACAAATCATAAAGACATGTCTGACACCTCGATCAAAGGGCAAGACTGAAAACAAAAAGCCTGCACCAAATAAAAAATAATGCAGGGCAGGAAGACCAAGGGCTTGAACTACTCGATATTAGGATTTTTATTAACTGTATAACCCTGTTTACAATAAAAAATGTGTCAATGACAATCCGATCACAAGTGGACAGCCATAACAACAAGCATAAAAGACACGTTGAGATCTGATGTCTCAAACCACTTGCCGGGTTGGTCTAGGACACATTTGACCACAAGTCTTTTGTAGTGTAAACACAAATGTGTCCTGATGCATCCCAGACAAGGATGAAAGAGGCATATACGTCACCAATACAGGATGTGGTGGTTGTTTCGGTGACAGCCTGCCAATGCCCAAAGAAATGGAAATGAGACGTAGCAGCCTGTATGTGTATTGGTTTTGTTTTGGGGGGTTTTCTAGCAAAAGTAACAAAATCTGAAGACAAATGTTGAGTTGGAAACTTACCATGATAGTGGGGCGGCTGTGGCTCAGGTGGTAGAGTGGTTTGTCCACTGATGGCAAGGTTGGCGGTTCGATCCCCGGTGCCCCCCACATGCCGAAGTGTAAGACACTGAACCCCAAATGGCAGATTAGCGCCTTGCATAGCAGCTCTGTCACCATTTGTGTGTGTGAATGGGTGAATGAAAAACATTGTAAAGCGCTTTGAG